ATCTCCACTAACATATTCATCCCTCTCGTTTTTAATTTGTTGATTTGTTTTTTTTATCATATGTCTTGATTATATTCGGTCAGTTTAGTCTTTTAATTTTAACTTATAACTTAAAAATCTGAAATAAAAAATTATAATTTTAAATTTGTAAATATTGAGTGTTAAAAAACTATTTTTAATATTTAATTTTTAGTTTTTTAACTTTTACATTTATAATTCATTTTTAATATTATATATTTTTGTGCGACCAAATAACAGAATTCAAATTGAGGTTTTTCATTTCCAATTTCATGACCTCAATTTCGTGTACTAAATGGTGCATAATCTTATGGCTATTTATAATTAAGATATTTAAATTAAATGTCAATAAAATCCATTTCGACAGATAAACATTCTTGCTAAAACAATAAACAATACTGACAAATAAATTTATGTAGCTAATACTTTAAACAATACCGACAGATAAATTTGTTTGTTGCTAATACTAGAAACAATACTCACAGATAAAGTTTTGTCGCTAAAACTATAAGCAATACCGACAGATGAAAGTTTGTTGCTAAAATTGTAACCTATAGCGACAAATATTACTCTTTCTGTGGGTCAAATAGTTTTTTCTTCAAATGATTTTATCTGTCGGTAATATTCTCTTTTTAGCGACAAATAAGGTTTCTATCGCTAAGGATCTGTTAGTACTGTCCTCTTTTCTGTAGTGAGTTTTAGTACGTGTTCTTGGGTTAGTAATCACTATTCAGAGTTTAAATTTTTGTATTTCCGCTACTCTTTAACCGTGGTTACCTTTCACATAGGTGGTCAACAATATTGAGGTTGAATTACCATATCAGAAGACTAAAATTTGCAACTTTTAGAGACCAACAAAAGCTACAAGATGTTGTCCAAGAAAATATTGATGAAACTTAAATGTTTGAAGCTTAGATGATTGTCAATACACAATAAATTTGGGACAAAATTTAACGTATGCAAAGAGTTTCTAGAATATCTTGTATACAATCACAAAGAGCGAAAATGGTTTCAAGACAACAAAGACCATCAATAAGCAGACTATAATATGTGCCTACAAAAACAAGAGAGTTACAGTACTTGAGAATACTTTTGCTATCCAGTAAATAAGTCTAAGTTATAAGAGCTTGAAGATAGTTAACAATGTTTTACATAAAGAACATAACTCATTCAAAGAAGTAAGTGAAGCATTGAGGTTATTAATTGATGATAAAGAATTTATTGAAGATATAAAAGAGGTTTTGAGGCATTGAATTGCAAAATGAGAGATGTAATGAAGTTTTCTAATAATAAATCCTGAAATGAACCATTTGGGGAGAAAATAGTTGTACTCGAAGGTGATTTTATCCAAATTTTTTCAGTTTTACTCAAAGCTTTGAGAGAGAAAATTGTAAGTGCTACCGCCAATTTCTGACAAATGTGGTTGTATTGTAAAGTTTATACATTTACCAAGAATATGAGATTGCATTCATCTATCCCTCTTGCACAAATAGGGGCACACATGCTTTTTATGTTCAGATTATCAAAGTCGAAGATGAAAAGCTTGGACAAGTGATTCATGGAACTGATGGCGTTGAAATCTCGCTCTATTGGTGTAAATTATCGACCGATATATCGTTTTTAGTTGCGCAAAAACGATAAATTAGTCTACAAAATACACCAAAATATAAACACTGAGATTTTGACGTGGAAACCCAATTGGGAGAAAACTACGGGTCTTTTTTTGCGGTACCTTGCCAACGAGGATTTTTATTAATATTGAGGGTGTGTAAACGGTACATGATTTAGGCTAAGAAGTCATTAATGGAGCATTTAAGCTTTTGAAGAAAGAAAAAATATACTACAAAGTAATCTAGAGAGAGAGAGAGTTGGGCAGGGAGAGGGAATGAATTGGCTCCCCTAATTTTGAGGGGAAACCCTCTCTTTTATAGGAGGGGAGGGGAGCATTTTCGGAGGAATATTCTTAAATTCCTTTCATTTTACTAAACAGGTCTGGTTTGAGTGTTTTCGTAAATAATTAGGAAATATGTACCGAGGCACGTATTATTTCCCATCACGCTCGAATTCTTGATTCTTGACACAAGTTATCCACAACTCTTGATCCTGCTGACGATTGGATAATAGTTGAGTTTTTTTTAATGAAATCAAATATTTAAGGATCCCAAACCACAAAATAGTTTTAAAAAGGGAGTGCTGATTATTACTAAAGAACATTGACCAAATATCTAGATTGTTTAATAGGTTTCTGGAGAATCGAGCTGGGAGAAACGTTTACATACCCTGAATGAATTTGGAATCATATGATTAAAGACTATCCTTGAAGTTCTAAAGAAGACAATTTTTAAAAAGTTTAAATCCTACATTGGGAAAACTATTATGTTTTAGTTCTATTTAGTGCAAATTTTATTATTTTATATTTTGTTAATACTGTTAACAAAAGTTAAGTTCAAACATTGTCTTTTACTATATTATTTTTAACCAATTTGGTATTTACTCATAATCAACTTGATGATACTACTTCACGAGTGAATGCAAAGACATATTTAAAAATCTGAGAAGAAGTGGAAATTAAAAATTTAAACTCTAAGCAACATATTTCAAGATTAAAAAAATAAAAGAAAAAAAAGCATTAGCTCCACTCGTGCGTGGCAAGGGTCCTCTTGAAAAATCCGAACGTAACAGGAAGAGTATCTTTCCTGGGAATCCTGGCAACCCAGCGATAAAGTGATGGCTTCATCTCCATTTACCCCCCGCTGTACTGTGGAAAACGGATCGAAGTCATTCTTCCAGAAAGCTGTGAATATTTTCTTAACTTTTCTGTCAATCGTTGTCAATGATTCTCCCCTAAGAAATCTATCTGCCCTAGTTAATTTTTTTTATAACTGCCCTAATTAATTTAAATTTCCCTCTTTTGGAATCATTTAAGGTTTATTTGGTGGATTGGTGGCTACTGAAGGCGGATAGTCAATCCAGTGGGAAGAGACTCGGTGTCGGTGGTTTTACTTTACGGTAAGCAGTTCTTCACCATTGTTCAAGAAGATCCATATTCAAGTTGGCCATCCCGGAAATGTGGAATTTTTTAATATGCCAAAGCTCTTAAGCCAACTGGTCTATCTATGGGAAGCACGAAATCCTATTCCCTTGCTTGCGTTTGTTAAATAAAAAACTTAGCCACTGTTAGTCTGAATATGGGCTCTTTAAGCCACTTTAGTTATGAAATTGTTGTAGGTATTCTCATCTTTTGGGGGACGGACAGTACCTTTTCGAGGCTTTAGTGGGTGAGGTAGGGTGGGGTGGGGGTGGGAATTGGTTAGGGACCTTTCATACAATGAGGAAAACCATAGTATGTTAAGAAAGAAGAGTACATACTATAAAAAACATACGGAGTAAGGAGTAATAATTTCACTAAAATAACAATGATGGTCTAGGGTATTGGACCTTGAACTATTTGGATTTAAGCCTTGCACTTACATAGTTACATATACCTAATACATACATACAACAACAGCAACAACAACCCCTCTTGAATCCCACAAGAGTAGGGTTTGGGGAGGGTGTGTGCACGCAGACTTTACCCCTACTTGAAAGTAGAGAGGCTGTTTCCAAGAAAACCTTATCCCTAGCTTTTCTGGCACAAAAGACGAAACGGGAGATGAATGTTGTTCAGATTTTCTGTATGTCGTCCTGATTTCTTATTAAATATACTTAAGTCTTTATTCGTCGCCGCAGGAATAATGTGAGGCAAGAGTTCTCCTCAGCTCCCATTGTGAAGGTGCATGATATGTTCACACTTGAGACAATGGATGGAATATGCATCATCCTAGAAAACTTAATCAATAAGACTCGCACGTTAGAGAATGGGTTTCCATCCAAGGATAGTACCTTGTCTCCAATCCTCATGTTAAATTATAGCTCTAGTTCATGCTCTTTGAAAGCAAAGTTTCTCCAATATTTGAATATATTTGACATGAATTTTTTTCAACCATCCATATAAACTATATTCATATACTTCATCCGTCCCAAAATGAAGTTTGCACTTTGATTTTGTGGAGTTTAAGGAAAGTGTTGAAAAGTAAAAAGTGTTAGGTAGAGTTTTAATAACAAGAGAGAAATCTTCCAAGCCGCTTATTCATTTCCTGGATAAGAAAACAAGTGTAAATTTTATTTTGGGACATTCCAAAAAAAAAAGGAAGTGCAAACATTATTTTGGGATGGAAGGAATATGTGTTTAGCTTTTTGCATTTTGTCTATAGGTAATTACCGTATTTTGTGGTTGTCGTGAAAAACAACTTGGATGAAATAATTGAACGAGTTATACTCTAAATTTCTAATATTTTTCCTTCAAATTTATTCTAAAAAATAGTGAATATGCCGTGCAGTTCGTTGACTGAATGTCTAGATGTATTAGTGCAAGCCCTTCACTTTCCCCATCTTTGATGCAAAACATAGTACGGGGTACAATTAGTTGAGTAAATGTTTTGATGTATCAGTGCAAGCCCTTCACGTTCCCTATCTTTGATGCAAAAATTAGTATCATTAGCTCAAATTTAAATTATGAACTCCCTGTGTCTATCTTACCTTTTCCAAACACTTCAACAGGTGTTTGAAAGTTTTATTTTAGGCTTTCCCTATCAGTGGGAGATCTTTGCTGCTAAAGATGCATTGGAAGCTTCTCCTCCCAAAGCCGCTCCAGATGCTGTTTTGGGTGTGCAGAAGTCATCCTTGCGCTCACAAAGTAAGATTGACTCGAATAAATACTCATATTAATAAGTATAATTTGTAAGTCCCAAAATGATCTTCTCACTCTATTGTTTTGGTAAATGCTACTTTAACCCCAGGATGACACCAATGTTGACACCATGAGACAAAAACATACATACACTCTGAGACAATCTTATTGTCATTTGTGATGTGACTGAAGCACGACCTTACTTTTTTTTGATGTCCCTAAATGATCTGCCCATTTCTTTTCTTGGCATTCCCTTTTTAATTCTTTCTAATAAAAAATTACCTTTACCCTCAACAACCTACATATTACCTACCTTTTATTTCACATTTACTAAACACAAAAAAGTAGGTTGATGCATTTAAATAACTTTCCTTACACCCTTGTTCTCTGTGCCATTTTTCAAATGAGTGTAATTTTGGGATGAAGGGAGTAGTAGTTAAGGAGTTCACACTTCATGTCTCGTAATTGTTTAGGGCCTGCTTTTCTACTTAAGTTCTTTTACTTTTACTATTTTTGGCTCTATAAAACTTTCCAAGCTTCTATTTTCCTTGAGAAAATCAAAGAACATTTTCAGTTGATGTAAAATTCTTTTGATCTTCAATATAGAAAATATAGACTGAAAACTAATATAGAAAATATTGAACATGTTTTAAGTTTGCTGTTTTTTAATATAATATACAAATTAGGTGATATGCATCCAAGGTAGTTAGCAAGAGTGTGTATGATGTTGTCTATGATTTGCAATTATTGCAAATGTGCACATGTTTGTTCTTTTTATGTAACTTGTGGATTTTTTTGCAATTAAAAGGTGTTCCAGAAGCTAGAAGAACAAGAAGTATGAAAAGCAAGGATGTGGGTAGTCCAAAAACACATGAACCAATTTGTATAAAGAAATCAAAAATAAATAGCGTTTCAGAAATCAACAAGCAAGGTGAAGAAGCTGAAGATGAGATGTGTACGCAAAAAAACCTAAATACAGAAGACTGCATTTCCCTAAGGCTCCGTTCTCGCCACAATAAACAGAACCATACTTCGGAGGGTGGTATGGCAGTTTGTGGAGTTGCAAGCACATCTGGGAGCAACACAAAGGAAAAATTGGATTATGTTAGTAAGCTTCCATTTCATACAGGCACACAAACAAATATTAAGATGCACTTCTTGATTTTTTATGGTTCGGTCTTTTAAGTTATTGTTTGTTACTTTTTAGAAGAATAATGGTCCTTGTTCTTTTGTGTTTATTGGTATCGTGCATCTTAGTAGTGCAGTGGGTGTATTATTTACAGAGTAATCTTTTATTTCCACGGAGCCATTGTATTGTGGATGCAATTGCTATTTGTATATTTGTTAGTACTTGTAGTTTCGTACATTTATCTATAGTCACTTGTTGATAAAAATATGGCCCTATGCATGTAGACTACAAGTTTAGTTAATTTTAATGCTCTCTAGATTTTTTGCGAGTCCTGGTGCTTGTTAATGTGGCAAACCATTTTTGCAAGTGCACTATCGAATATGTGTTATTGAGTGGGAAATTGTGGATTGTGATTGCAAAGAACTCTCTCATACAGACCATCTGGTATTTCTTATTTTAATGTGTAAGGATTTTAAAATCTTCTATTTACTGCATGAGTGTGTGCTAAACAGTTATTTCCTCCATCCCATAATACTTGTCCAGCTTCCGTTTAGGATGCTCGAGTCAAGTTATTTTAAATTCAATTTATTTAAATACTGGTGTAAAGTTTAAAGCTAAATTTATATATTTAAAAACTATATTAAGAGCTCTATACAACAAGAGGTGGTGTGACTATGTTAATGTACTCTTTTTGTTCCATAAAAGGTTCATCTTTCCTTTACAGAAATGAATTTAGTGATTCGCACAAATCTCTCTCCTCTGCACAAAACTCAACCACACTTTCACCTTTATTAATAATTGTGCCCAATCAATGAATTGTGGACCTTATTTTGGGAAAGAGAGAGTAATAAGAAATGATTGAAGAAAATATGCAAAGAAAAAGATATGATTTGACTTTGTGAAGAGTGAACATGTCAAGTATTATGGGACAGAGCGAGTAAAATATAGTAAATCACCAAAGAAAGTCATTTTCACCATTATTTTTGTTAGCAATTCAGTTCAACTATTAAAGTCGAGTAGCTTTATGTGTACCAATATGCGTGTTTTAGAACATATTCTTTTTTGTTAAAAGCACATTTCTAATGATTGATAGAGCATTTTTAATTAGCTTTCGGTGTTTCTTTACATCTATTCAGGAAAGCCTTGCATTTAAGAATGGAATCGGAAATGCCTCAGCTGTAAATGTGGAACCTTCAATGCCGGATGGTTTAAAATCAGGTAGGCAGGCTGGTTATACATCAAATACAGGGCCTGTTTGGGAATAACGTTAGCGATTAGCGTTAGCGTTTTGAAAAGGCTATCTACGGGCAGCGTTTTCAAAGTAATCTACACCGTTAAAATTTTATCCAAAACGCTAACGCTAATCTCTAACGCTATTCCCAAACAGGCCCACAAACTAGTTACCTCTCTATCGTCTTGGTTAGAATTTGTAACTAACATTCCTTGCATCTGATGTTTCATGAATGCATGTCTAAATATTTTGGAACAATACAAGCTACTCAAGGATGTAATGACAAATCTATTGACGGCTTTCGAAGGGGAAACTTAGAAGATGAAATTAATGTCACACCCAGTAAAAAGTATGGAGGGGTTCATAAGGTTTCCATACCAAAGAATGTGAGTAAATGTGCTCAGTCTGACCCTGGTTATGCACACAGTGCAAAGAAGAAAACTTGTTGCAGAAAAGAAGCCGGTTCTGTAAGTGAAAGTTCAAATTAAAAATGATAAAGATAAAGAATGATAACTATTGCATGTGCTTGAACTTCTCATATTTTTAATCATAGTATTTATGAAATTTTTGTGGCATATAAATGAAATCATCTCTCCTTTTGCTAAAGCTGGAATCTTTTCTAACGCAGTTTGAAAACATGGCGTCTCCACAATCTCTGACGCTAAAAAGATCGAGATCAGGTTTGATGGTTATCTGAATTAGCAATTTCTCTTTCGGGCTATGGGTACGCAACTTGGTGCGCACCAAGTTGTACACCAACTATTATTGCTCACACCAAATAAGCGTTCTCATGTATGCAAACTAAAGCTGTTTATGCGATGTCTGTGAAAGCTCTCACTGACATTGCACATACAAGTTTTTTTTTTTGGTACGAACCAATATGTTTGTTGGTGTGACGAAAAAATGGGTGGTGAACAAAAGGAATTTTCCCTCTCTCACTGGCCAATATTCAATGAATACTGGGATCATAGGAATAACATGATTGTAAGCTTATGTTTTATTTTCTGTGTTCTGAACTCTGAAGGGAGATTGCTTCTGCCTCCGCTAGAATTTTGGCGTAATCAACGAGCAGTTTATAATTTGGTCTGTCCCTATTTATACTTTTTGCATAATCTTCCATCCCCTTAAAGAATTCCTAAAATTTGTCTTTAATTCTGCTTGTGCCATTTTTCAGGAACGCAAAGTCACTGGAATTGTGGACGACCAAAATTTTCTGATTTAGATGTTAGTAGGTTGACAGCAATGTTGATTTACTTCATTTTTTTTCTTGGTCATGGGAGTGACTACAGCTGAGGGGCAGATAGAAGGGAAGGTGTTAGAATGAATATGAAGCCTGGGGCCTTTCACCTGTGATAAAATCCTGAATCAACGGAGAACTCCCTTCCTTTTTGTTAAGGTAGTATTATGTACTCTTTCTGTCTGAAATAAGACCCTCATTTGACTTCTTACAATCTATGATGCAATACTTAGATCATTAATATCTACATTTATGCATAAATAAATATTATAAAAATAAAATATTTCAGAACTACATGTCAAACTAAATCTAATGATATTAAATTTTCAATTTTAATATTAACTCAATATATTTTTTCTACATAATATGGTCGAATATTACAAACTTTGACCAAGTAAAGTCAAACGGAAACCGTATATTGTGATAGAGGGAGTAAGATGTATAACTTTTGGTTATGGATATGCTAATGGAGGCGACATAGAAGCACATTCCGTCTGTGATGTAGTACGGTATATTGCTGAAGTCGACGACTCAATGGAAGGGTAAAAAGAGAACTACTCCCTCCCTCTCCAAATCAACTTTGCTGTTTCCATTATTGATGTCTAAAAAATCAATTTTATACTTTTCCACTTTCCTTTTTGGGAATAAATATGTGGACAGCTTTATTGATCTGTCTCTCAAATGAATTCCAACCACAAACCCTTCACCAAACACCTTTCATTTTTCAATACTTTTCCCAACTCTGTGAGCTCAGAGTGTCAAGGTGATTTGGAGACAGAGGGAGAACACACTGAACTGGATTGAGCTTTTTGGTGGTTGCTTTGAACTAAATGCAAGTATGCAACGGTAAAGGTGGCTTTGTTTTTTCTAAATTATTTATATTATTTGCAAATTGACGTATTTGTTAGGTGTTTCTTATCAAATTCCTTACTAGGAGTATTAAGTATTATTACTACTATGAAGAAAAACAAGCCCTAATACTTCATACCTAACTGACACTCTGACAGATAATAAATTCAAATGAACATCAGTGAAAAGTGAAGCAAAATGTTCTTATGTAATTGTGAATTGAATTTACAGAGTACACAAAAAAATGGTCCAGATAATAAAAAATGGAAAAACTTATATATTCAGTTTTATCCTTTTCTATTCAAGTTTTTTTTATCAGTCTTCCCTGATTTATAGTTTCACACACGGGAACACACACACACGCACAATATTGCTAATGTTTTGAGACTCAGTAAGTTATACGACAATAAAACATAGCTGTCAACAGCATTGCTATCAGCTGGTGCATCCTTCTTATATCCCCTTTTCAGAAGGATCTCATTGAAGGTATGGGAATGATATATTCACATTCATCTTCACTTAATTTTTACTTCTGATTGATTAAAAGAACCATATCTTGTATCCATATTTTTCTGATCTGATTTAGAATTTTTTGAAATATGAAACCCTAATTGGAAACTCAATTTTATTTAGGGAAAGACCTTCTTGCACTTCTATCATCTTTGGAATTTTTATGTGTGTTTTTACTACTTCCTCCGTCTCTATAAACATTTCTTGTTTTGACTTTTTTTGGGTGGGGGGGGGGGGAGGTGTAGACGTTTGACCAAGGGTTAATGACGATAATTGATACGAGTAGGGTTTGAGAAA